ATCGGCACACTACATACGACGCGTTTTCCGTTTCTCATTCAATAATATTTATTAATACTATAATGTGAATATACAAGTCAGTGGTGGCCTAGTGGTTAAAAGGCCCGCCTCTCATGCATGAGGGCGCGGGTTCGATCCTGGCAAGTACCAGTGTGATATTTCCGAATCATATGTACTTTCTAAGAGTATTTAGACATTACTAATTAATGCATTCCCAAAGAGGGTTGATGTCAGGCAGGCGGACGGTCGTAAAAACTATTAGCCAAACTATTCACAACATGTAAGGCAGACCCTGGCTAAAGCTGGGAAATTGCCAGGTAGAAGAAGAAGAATGTGAATGTACAAGGAATAAGGATGAATGAAAAACTACTAACGATCTGTAGGTAGTGTGAAAAAGCAAACTAGTAGTAGTTATTGTAGCTTGTAGGTCGAACAGTCAGTGAAGCGTTGAGGTCAAATGATGATTGTAAACGACAGGCTGTTACTAATCTAAAACTATTTCAAATTAAATAATAATGATCAATTTATTTCATGTTACTTCATAATAATTTTTCCCAAAAAATAAGTTTATTATAACCGAAAAATACTTGTAAGTAAGAAATTGTAAGAAAATAATGAATGAAAACGATTAAGGGTTTCGTAAGTCTGACAATATGACCAAAAAATATAATTTAATTAATACATATGTAAATATATAGTTGACGTTTTAACGAACAATATTTACGTAAGTCAAGAAATCGATTACAAAAGACGTTTAATGATACGGCGACGTGAAAGTGGACCTGACTCCACGGACACACGACACGAGACATTCCCACTGTCACTAGGGATATGTATGTATGTAATATACGACATAATATAATTAGTACTGTATTTGAAGATAAACTCTGTCTATAATAAAAAGATTTATTAATCTTAACAAGTATTTTATATTAAATTATGGGATACGTTAGTGATAAACACACACACACATACACACATACACACACACACACACACACACACACACACACACACACACACAGAGTCGCTCACAACTTTTACTTGACACAAAGAATAGTTTAATGATGTTTCAATTTGTAAATTAATTTAATTGAAGGGAGCAGCGACGCGCTCTGATAACGAAACCTTTACGACGAGTCGCCCACGACTGACGACACACGGCGCGTTCACAGTGAGTCGTTAATGAGAATAACGGATAGTGTGACCGTTGAAACATGGAGTAAGGAGGAAGATTTATGTTGGACTTACAGAGTACTGAGTAGTCAGTGGTGGCCCAGTGGTTAAAAGGCCCGCCTCTCATGCACGAGGGCGTGGGTTCGATCCTGGCCCGGGCAAGTACCAATATGATTTTTCCAAGTCATATGTACTTTATAAGAGTATTTAGACATCACTGATTAATGCATTCCCAAAGAGGGTTGATGTCAGGCAGGCAATATCCAAAACAATTCATAAAATGTAAGGCAGACCCTGGCTATAGCTGGGAAATTGCCAGGTAGAAGACAGAGTACTGAGTTATAGATTGACTTATTATAATGAATGACCATCTCAATAAGAACTGCTCATAGAACTGAGAGCTTGGAAGATGAGGGTTCAGAACTAATTGGAAGCTTGTGTGAATGAAGTAATGTCATGTATTAAGGAGGTAGTTAAATGAGATATAGTGTGTATATATGAGACTATTTACGTATAATATATGTATGTATGTCTGTGTTCATATCTTATAAACCAACTGCACCGGCTTTATAAGTGACTTTAGACATATTTATAATAAGAGAACTCTGTGGATGAAATTTACAAACAATAAAATCGAGAAATGATTGTATACAGCGGTTTGGAAAGCTCCATAAAGTTTATAGGTGCATTGTATGTAGGTCCCGTCCTCGTACCACGAGCAGACTCCGAACCTTACATCGTAAATCCTTCATATAATGGTAGGGAGGTGTTCCCTCGTACCACGTGATCTCATCGTCACCGTATCAGTGATCGTGGTACGGGGTCGATAGTGAAGTGCTCATTATAATATTAATATATGGATGATTTATACATATATGTATATGATCTAGTTAGTGTTGTCTGTCTGTGTGTATCGAGGAAGACGGCGGAGGGGGTGGAGGGGGAGCGGGGAACTGGTCAGATGTTGTTATGTAAGGAGCGATCAGTGATCCTAGGGGCACGGACCTCGGGGATTACACCCACCGGAAACGGAAACGATTGTATTTTAAAATTAATCAGATTTTTTTTAATAATATATATTAATATAATTTATGTGGTTAAATATTGATTCATATGATAATTAAATGTTACAGTTAGGTTTATTAAAACTAGCTTAATAAGACACTCACCATTATAACGGATGCCATTTTCATCATTTTATGTCCAAAATTATTGACACTTTAATATATTTATATCACATCACACACATTCACATAAATAATGAATTTTATTACCGATTATTATAAAATTAACACTAGGATAAAAAAATACAAAATTATGGATATAAATAACGCATTAAAATAAAATTTATTAATATATAAAAAAAGCAAAAATATTAATTCTAATAAATTATGCACTGTTGAATATTCAGACTTTGGACATTTAAAATTTGAAATAAAAAAAAAATGAATAAATGGAAAGCGTTTAAAATATGGCAATAAAATGAGAGAGTCGATGAAAGTACGTGTTCAAAAAGATTGAGATAAAACAATTTAAATTAATGCAGATAATCATTATTGATAAGACACTAACTAAATATATATTTAATATATTAACTGTTATTTAAGCCCGAGGCCTTTCTATTCGCGTCAGTAAGCTATGGATAGCTTAAGTATCGAAGAAAACATAATACAGTTACAATATCAAGTAATTCCTGATCATATTAATTATATTTTATTACATTGGAATAATGTTTTAAACAGCCGGCACGATATTAGATTAAAAAAAAAAATAAACACTGGCACAAAACAAATGAATGAACCTTCGATGATTTGAAACGTCAAATTTGAAATTAGAACACGACGCGAACTGTCATAGAGGACGCGCGCGGACGGCGGCGGGGACGCGGGAGAATGCGCGCGAGTCGCGGACCGAGGACCGAGGAGGAGGAGGAGGAGAAGGGAGGAGGAGGGAGGAGGGGGTGTTAAGGAGAACACGGTGCTGGATAACATGAATTGGATGTGATGAAACATGTGATTTATATTATCAACTATTACATATACAAATATGTATATTATGTTTTGTAAGCCGTTGATACGTGGACAGATTAGTCGTGTACTATAGAAGTGATTAATATTTAACATGATGCAATTTTTATATTTGTAAGACATTGATTTTATTGGAATAAAATTTTGTTAATCAGGATCCATTTTTCTCCATTACTTTAATAATCACATATAAAGATTAAACTAAAGGAACTATTTTTTCTATTAAGTCAAAAATATTTTCCCTATTTTCTAGTAATAAAATTATTAATAAAAACTTTATCAAACATTCCACATCGAATAATTTTCATATATTATTCAAATACAATAATCAGTTACACAACACATTTCATATTATTTTATAACGATCATTATGAGTATATGAACACGTCCTGCAGATAAGACGAGTGTAATAAAAAGTACTTAATTTCTCTTAATAAATTAATTAATTATTTCATAATATGTAGGTGTAGTCTTCCCCTTAACCGGTGCTCGGTCAAGGCGGAAGCTCCGCTTCTGACCGCTACAGGTTATTGACTATACATCGTGCTTTTATTATTTGTTAACTAGCATTGTATTGAGAAACACTTGTTATTATTAAACGCAATATATTACGTAACGGAATATATAATTATTGAAGATATAAGTAATATTATTTAAATAAAGTAAATAATTCTTTGATAAGACTTAAAAGAAAAGACATACATTACTTTTAGTATGTAAATATAGTAAAATTGTAATATGATTGATTGATACTTTTTTTGAAGTCTATCAAACGCCTACATTTTTATAATAGCACGCGTGCACTTGTTGGTAATATTAATTTTCGTAAGGCGTTCAATATTTTAATGGTGAAATGTATACATACTATTATATCATGTTTATATGTGTGTTGTATAATATTATATTATGATTATCATTTACACAAGATCCAATATAACCGTTTTGTACTAACTGAATGTGGATTGTGTATACAAGTACTGTGGATATAAGTACTATATCAAAATATATTTTTAACAAATGAGTCCGTTTGCTTGTATTAATTTTGACGATACTTTTACTGCCAAGTGGTTTATTAAGTTAAGAAAAATTTTAGTTTAATTTAGTTGTTTATGTTTTCAAAATGGTTATAGACTGATTACAATTAACGTCTTTAAAATAGCTACAACAAAAATGCAATTTTATAAGTTTTGGTTTGTATGTATGTATGTACGTTAGTTCCGGCTTATCTCTGGGACGGCTGGACATATTTCTAAAGGAATTTCACTTGCAGATAGGTAATGTCATTAGAAGTCAGGGTAAACTATTACAGATTTTAAACTTAAATTGCATTGTCCTGAGATATACGTCCACTGATAAAACATCGTGAGGTTGATAAGGCCAATCACAAAGAGAGCATAAATATTTGGGCAAATTAGCAGGCGACAGCTAGTCTTTCATATATTTTTAAATATTTATATTTGTTTTTTATTTTTTTTTTAATAGTACTTGCGTAATTAAGGATAGCTATAGTAATTAAAATGAAAAATAAAACAAATAATTTCTTATAAAACTTAATAGTCGGGGATCGGGACAGTGTTGATGTGTCACTTTGATAAGTGTTGAAGATTGAGAGTGAGAATGAGCTAGTGTGGTTACACGTCACCTCTTATACATACTATACTATTAATATATGGACCGGTTAAATATTGGGACAAACTAACGGTACGACTTGAAATATATATAAAGAGAGAGAGAGAGAGAGAGAGATTCAATAATTTTAAAATAATTTTTTTCTTTCAACTAATAATCTTTTGTTTGTCACATGTTCCGTGTGATCGTGTGACTGTTTGTCTCCCTCTCTCTGTGTGTGTGTGTGTGAGGCATGTCGCGTGCCGCTGCTAGTCTCGCGGCCGTCGAACCTGATAAAAACACATCGATACAAGGAGACGGAGACGGATAACGGTTGTGTGGACTGTGATACAACTCCTTCCGATTATATTGAACTGGTTTAACGTGATGACGCTCAGACTACTCACTGAATTAATTAACAACACTCATATGGACATATATGTACATATATACCTACTAATATTATAAATGCGAAAGTAACTCTGTCTGTCTGTTACGCTTGCACGCTTAAACCACTGAACTGATTTTAATGAAATTTGGTACAGACATAGAGTTGACCTTGAGTAAGAACATAGGATAGTTTTTATCCCAGACTTTTGAAAGGTTCTCTTGGAAACGCAATATAACCGAAATCCACGCGGGCGAAGCTGCGGGCGGAAAGCTAGTATATATATAGAGAAGTCATCATCTTTCGTTTTAATTATCCTGTATATATATAATGTGTGTTTGTCTTATGTTGATGGAATGTAAGCCTGCACGAGTTAATTAATGAAGACACGTCGAGAAAGTGCCGTCGATTAGTTACCAGTTACCGCTGACTAGACGCGTTTCCTGTACTTAGTTTTTACTGTGACGTGTGCTGTGGAGTGAAAAGTGAAAAGTTAACTGCGGAGAAGTGGATTGAAGGCGTCCCACACACTCTGAGGAAATGATCACGTGAGGAGACCGTGGAAGATTAAAAGAATATATTTTTGGTATATAAAGAATATTTTACTACTGAAATTTACGACTATAATGAAAATATTCATGATTTTTGCAAATCTTTTTATATTATTCAGATTGAGAACGAATTCTGTAACTTTTTTGTTTGTTTTGAAAGTTGATCTCCGTAGATTCCTAACAGTATATGAGTGTCATATTGATGAATACATTACTATTATATATTATGAATGTTTCTGCTCCAATATATATTATGTTGGTGGATGTTTGTATGTTATGTGACGTAGAAATGACTTTCATAATAAGGACTCAAGAGTCAAGGATCACTTCAAGCGATGAGTGTTAACATGTTTGTAGTACGAGATCTAAGATTTTCGCCAGTACTCACTACTCATTTAAATGAAACTAATATTCCCTTATTTACTACGCGATTTTTTTTATACTATAAACTATGTACATACTCCCGACGTTTCAATTAATTAACAGCAACTTTATAGTCAAAAAAATAATAATCGGGTAGTAAATCCGAAAATATTAGTTTCATTTAAATGTTTGTAGTGAGTTAACGTCTGAAATATACTTAGTGTAGTGTTGTGACTGGTTACTACTTACTGGTGACTACACCAGAGTCCAGATGCCTGGGAACAATGTGACCACATTTTGACTTATATTTGTCTGTGAAAGTGTTTTCATGTTATCGTTGATTTTATTATTTATAATGCGTATTGTTTTATTATACAGGGTGACTGGTGAATTACTATCAATATTTAAGGAGAATACTCGGTACATGATTCTCATTCGAATTATGAAAAAAAAATAGGTACTTAATTTTTGACCAAATTTCCGTATAAATAAATAAAGTGTTGACACGTTCCAAATGTTCCAAGTGTGGACGCGTGCGCCGGCGTGCTGATACAACACTACGCCGCGCACGCGTATGTGTGAGTTTGTATGTATACCTAATCTGTAGGGTGTGCACACGATGCGTAATTAATTACATAACTTTTGGTCAACTTTACTTAGAAGTTTATTAATATTTATGTTATATTATTTTTTATTTTGTCATATATGATCGTCAAATATCACGTCCTCAAATATTGATAGTAATTCACCAGTCACCCTGTATATACGAGAAGTGTCTATCTGAAATCTCCTGAAATAAATAACAGAGTGCCACCGAATAGTGTGCTGTTATTTTTATTATCCTGTTAGACAATTCAAGCTATAGCTCAGCGACATTTTAATGGAAATAGGGAGAAAAACATTCACTTGTTTTTAATTTTATTTCTCTATGGAATAACTTATTGAGTGATAGTAGATTAATAAGTAAGTAATAAGTAATGAGATCTAAGATTTTCGCGAGTACACATTTAAATGAAACTAATATTTTCGGATTTTACTTCGCGTTTTATTTTAGAAACTACATACTCCCGACGTTTCGGCTACTTTTCAGCAACCGTGATCACGGGCAGACGAGATGTGCGTGTCTGTCAGTTGGTCTGGTCATTTTATCTCCTACCGCCATCGATTTCTTAATTGTCTTGCGTACCGCTCTGGATGCCATACATCGGACAGACAAAGAGAAGCATCGGTACAAGGGTTAAGGAACATATTTCAGACGTCAGGAATAGGCGCGCGTCGAAGTCAGCAGTGTGCGAACATGCATTGGACAAACCAGGCCATTACATTAGATTTGATCAACCACATATCCTCTCTCGTGAAGACAGATATATACCAAGGTTAATCCGCGAGGCTATTGAAATTAAAAAACACCCCAATTTCAATAGAGAAGATGGCTGGAACCTATCAAACTCCTGGGATCGTCTTCTTAAAAATATAAAATCCCATGTCCGTGACCACACCGCAGGACCTCGAGACACCGTGAGCGCATTTTGCCGGCATCCAGAGCGGTACGCAAGACAATTAAGAAATCGATGGCGGTAGGAGATAAAATGACCAGACCAACTGACAGACACGCACATCTCGTCTGCCCGTGATCACGGTTGCTGAAAAGTAGCCGAAACGTCGGGAGTATGTAGTTTCTAAAATAAAACGCGAAGTAAAATCCGAAAATATTAGTTTCATTTAAGTAATAAGTAATTATTAAATACTGAATTTTCTTTTAAATCTGGAGGCAGGGTGAAATTTAGGGTTGTACGTATTTTCTAAATCCAATTTATAAAAAAAAAACACTGACCAAAAAATTAATTCAAATGGGATGGACAGCCCTCATCACTTAGAATTATGATGAAAAATACATAGTAACCGATTCAAAGATATGTATATGGAATATGCATATAAAATGCTTACAAATCGGTCAAAGCGTGGAAGTAGAGAATTTTACATATCAGATCATAAGTAATTGAGGTTGTCCGTGTGTACTCACCCTGACGAAGGGGTTCTTCCTGGTGAGCGGCCGGTCCAGCTCATCCTGCCCCTGGTCCTCGGTGATGTTGACGCACGTCTTGTACACTCCTTGGTCACCCATTGTCCATCATCATACACCCCCACACAATACTCACACGGTACACTTGTATTATTTATTCACTCATTTAATCACAATCACATCACTTGATCCTTCCTAATGAATTTTCTCCAGTCGCCTATGTCTGAAGACCACACGCTCCGAATCCGAGGGTCCTGTACAAAAAAGTACACTTTGTATATAAGTACGTAAAGTAACAATAATTTATGTTTCTTCTAATATCAAAAAGGTCGTGGTAGCCTAGAGGTTAAAGGCTCGCCTGTCATGCATGAGGGCGCGGGTTCGAAACCTGGCTAGTACTAATGTGATTTTTCCAAGTCATATGTACTTTCATATGTATTTAGATATCACTAAGAGACGGTGAAGGAAAACATAATGAAGAAACCTGTACTTATAATTTACAATTAAAAGTTTTAAAATCATCAACCCGTCTTGAGAAAGCGTGGTGATTAATGCTCAAATCTTCTCCATGTGAGAAGAGGCCTTTGCGTAGCAGTGGGCTCTGATAGGCAGATGATGATGATGCTGTTTGGATGATTCACGAAACAAGATGTTGTTTAATTTCGCAACATCTAAGTTATTTAACATTACAGTTAAGGTTGTATCGAACATTAAAAATACGTTAGTGAACTATAATTGACAAGAATAGATCAAATTTTGTAATACAATGTTCATGTTCTGTAGACGAGCACTGGCCAGGTCACTTATACATATTATTGAGCTATTGTATGTGGATGTACAAGTATATGTGAAGATTATATGAAGATACTAACATCATCACCTAGTTCTGCTTGCGTCCCGTTGCGTAACAGCTAGTTAGAAGTTTCTCAATAGTTTTCTCCTATCAACAATATACTATTATATTCTTGTTTATACGATGTACATTCCTTGTATTATATTAGTAGGTGGCAAGTCTTAGAGCTGCGTTTGCTGTCTCATAAAAGGTCTTCGGCCAACCTTGAGCTACTTTGAGTACATTACCGTCCTTATACAAGTTAAATAATAACAATTAACAGTTAAAAATAACTTGTACATATGTTAAATACATAACTAACAGCTGTTGCATACCTGGGATACTGTACTGATGAAAAACTTGTACCGAAAGAATTAAAGTTATACATTTTAGTCGTAACCTATAACATTGACTAGTTTTTGTGCGTAACTTCGTCCACTTTGTAGTACAGTTAATTATTCGCGGTATGTTATTCTGTTGCATAACTTATATAACTGGAGAGTTTCATCAAAATCTGATCAATAGTTTTCGTGAAGGTCAAGAACACGCGTATTTAAAATCTTAGTGAGGTGTATATGAGAAATGAATTAAAGTTATTCTGAAATGCATTAAAAGAAAAGAGAGTCAACAAACAATATAAAAAATAGTATTATGTCATAATTTGTTCTCTTCCACTAACTGTTTAAACTATCGGTAATATCTCTTGACGTATGTTATGTTCATAGTATATATGTATTATATGTATGTATATTATAATGTATTGTTGTTCAGGTCGCCCAGTACCGTCTGTAAGGTGACCTCCATTCATTGATTGTCTGTCATTCGATTACAGCATTGTGTTGTACCACGAACGGTTCAGGAAACACATTGATTATATCCAATAAACTATTACGTTCAAATTCCAGGCGAGTTCAGGTTAAATGTATAAACATGAAATTTTAACCTAAATAATATAATAGTCGTAATGGTCTAGAGGTTAAAGGCCCGCCGCTCATGTATGAGGGCGCGGGTTCGAAACCTGGCAAGTACCAATGTGATATATTCCGAGTCATATGTACTGTACAAGAGCATTTAGACACCACTGACTGATGAAGGAAAAGATCGCGAGGAAACCTGGATTTATTATCTTAAGTTATAAGTTTGAAATCACCAACCCGTGTTGAGCAAGCGTGGTGATTAATGCTCAAACCTTCTCCATGTGAGAAGAGGCCTCTCAGCAGTGGGCTCTGATAGGCTGATGATGATGACGTAATAATATGTATATATTAGTTAATTTTTCTATCATTATACTATTATATAATCATCGTCATATATTTGTCTCCAAGCTCCATCACGCTCTGATTGTTCAGACGAGGACGGTCATCAAGGATGTTTGACACGCACACTCACTAACGGTATGGCCAATGTTAACCAAATATATCGATACAGGTGATTATCGATATATAGTGACGCGATAAACTTTATCGATATTGAGAGAGTTGACACAATTAACATTAGTTTATAAGAGCAAACATATTATATAAACTTTCAAATAGAATAGTTAAATGATGTCAAAAATTTACTATGATAAGTAACCGTGTCAAGTTTCTGTTTTCCAAGCAATTATATATGAGAAGAGGTAATTAACGTTCAAATAAACATGTAGGTTTGAGTCAACGAGGCCGCACGCCGTGAGCCGCGTTCACTGGGAAGCCTTTGAAGTCAGACGTGTATCTTATATTAATATACTATTAACTGTGGATATAATGAGATTTATATATTTCTATATACATTGAACTAACTAGCACTGTTATGTATAAATAAATAAAGTTTAAGTGGTTTAAAACTCGATGTAAAGTGTTACATATCAAAGATTTTATCCTGGAAGCAGATCTATTTGTTCAAGAGTGAGCAACTTTTTACCTCTTGGAAGAAATTTCAATATGTAAAAAGGCCAGATCTAGCGAGTGACTTAATACAAGTCTTAACATATTCACACGTACATAAACCTTATATATTTAATACATAATATATTTGGTTAAAGTAATGAAAACATATTCATAGTTATCAGTCTCACATATATATTGTATATCGTATTTTTCCTGTCTATTGATCAGTGTAATAGAACGTTCTCCTCATATAAATTGATCAAACATTAATTCGAAGGCTAGCTACATTAGGCAGTAGGTAGCTCCTGACGAAATAACACTCCTATATGGACACACGGGTACATTGAATTACAATCATATCTGAACACATATGAACATTCCTTAATATGAGTTTATATCGTCACTACGTACGTAACGTTTTAAGTTTTTCTTACATACATCAAAGAATTATTATAGGTGATTGAATGGCAGACGGGAAACGTCTCGTATGTAGTATAACGATGCTGACCGGTGGTAAGTTTACCAGGACACGTGAGGTCTTGTCAGTTAATTGATAACTTATCAGTACCTAGTTCCCTGATACATTAACTGTCTCATTAGAATTTGGAGCGACTTTATTGGTGTAGTCATTACGATTGTTTTTTTAAAGATAAACGACTGTACAGTTAAAAATACTTAAAAAGTTATATTGTTATAACTAAACAGAAAGGTTACCGTATTCTTCAAGTTATTCAATAACATTTAGTAATTATTTGTGTTCATTATATTATAATGAGTGTTAAATCATTAATTCATTATCTATCTGTATTGAGTTCAATGAGAATTCGCAAGGTTCTACTGGAGAGGATCATAATTACGCGGTGCTTAAAGTATCAATGGAAACTCATGAACTGACGACAACCGACTTAATATATTAAAAATCTTTATATATATAATTCTTCTGTGAGTGTGTATGTCACTGAACTTCTCTCAAACGACTGGAGCGATTTTGATAAATAAAATTGTGTGTATTCAAGGTGATCTGGGAATGGTTTAGATTCACAATTTTGTCCGCTGGACATTGTTTTTTTTTAATTATTTTTTAATTTATTAGTACTTGTTGATACAAACGTTTTTTTTTACATTAGATTTGACAACTAACTAATATGTCAATCATTCTGTCGCACTTCAAAACACGGAGATTTATTGCTTTAATAGGTAAACTCTAAAAATAAAAAAAAACGTAACAGATATTTCTTGATTATAGGGCGATACGAAGTTCGCTGGGTCTTCTAGTATCATATAAAATACATAGTAAATATATAAATATGAACTATATTTGTATAGTTAATTGTCTTACTGACAGTTGAGTGAACACTTATTATTGAAACTGCTGACTTATATATTAATATAATATAAGCTGCACCATTCATCGCTAACCGTTCGACTAACTGTCTGACCACAGCTACCTGCGAGGTGGAGGGAGACGACAGATACGATAGAGCGAGATGGACAGAGATGGAGGAGATGGGAGGGGGGGGGGCAGGGTCTGATGGACGGACCAGTGGAGTGTGAAGAAGACGAGGTTGGAGAACAGTTCACATAGATGAGGGTATGAGGTTATATAGGGATTCCATAAAGAAATGAAACAGAAGTTACATATGTATACCGATAATAAAGGATACAAGAAAGGTAGAGACTAATATGAATGTTATATATGAAAAAATTGAATATATATACAGGCGACCCCTCGGCGGTGGCCACTGGAGCATGTAGCTTGAGAGTCGAGACACGGTATTGACCTTAGACTTACTATATACCACTGATGTCCTCGTAAAGAAGCACTTTCCTCCAGGACTGATTATACCCATCATTGATGGAGTACAAACATTGATCCATTCAGTACGTGTTATCTGATTCATAATACTATGATTCATATTAGAGGAATCTACGAACATGACAACGTGATGCAACACACCATTATGATATAATAATTATATATATTAAAGAAAGTCGTGTTAGTTATACTACTTATAATTGTAAAGGCTGTACGGGTTTGGATGAAAATTGGTGGACAGAGAGCTTAGAAATAGGGAAAGAACTTAGGGTACTTTTCTTTCGATCGAAAAATGGAAAAATAAGTTGATATTATCTAAAATTTTCTTATGTATAGTCTTTAATGAGGAACAGAGTTCGATCAGCTATGCTTTTCTAATTCTCAAACTAACGCAGATGAAGTCGTGGGTCATAACTAGTTATAGATAATATACTGTATAAGGTTGTATTGTAATCCTTACAGACTTATTGTAATGGGAGCACTTCCCGTACGTCGTGTGTCCTGGTGGCCGGTACACGGCGGTCCATTGAACCTTTCATCATAGGGTTACTGTTCACTGATTAATTAATATTAAAACTGATACGTA